CTTAAGATCAAATCATGGGCTGGAGAGATGGCTTGGTGGTTAAGAGCACTAGCCTCTCTTTGAGAGGACCTTCAAGAGCCACATGGCAGCTCACACCTGTCTACAACTCCTGTTCTAGGGCTTCTGACATCCTCACACAGACATATATATGTAGGCAAAACACCAATAAGCATAAAAATTTAAAAAAACATCACTGGGTGTGGTAATCCCAACACTTAGGGAACAGGAGGACTGAGGTGAGTTCAAGCAAGCCTGGGATAACACAGCAAGACCCTGCCTTGAAAAAAATAAAGAGTAAGTGATAATCCTGCCATGGTGCTTTCCTGTAAAGTGTGTTGAATACATGGGGTTAGATAGATGGCCGAATGATTAAGAACATTGGCTCCTCTTACAGAGGACCAGAGTTTGGTTCCCAGTGCTCACATCAGGCAGCTCACAGTTCCAGGGCATCTGATACCCTCTTCTGGCCTCTGAGTACCAGGTATGCACATGCTGCACATATATACAAGCACTCACACATACACATAAAAATAAATCTTAAAAAGTGTTTTGAAGGGCTAAAAAGATAGATTCAGAGGACCTGAATTCAATTCCCTCTACCCACATGATACCTCATAACCATCTGTAACTCCAGTTTCAGGGGACTTCCATGGGCACATGATACACATACATTCATGCAGGCAAAATGTATTCTTTTTTTTTAAAAGGCTGTATTAGAAGCTGGGTAGTGATGGTGCACACCTTTAATCCCAGCACTCTGGAGGCAGAGGCAGATTCAGGTGGATCTCTGAGTTAAGGCCAGCCTGATCTACAGAGTGAGTTCCAGGACGGCCAGAGCTACATAGAGAAACCCTGTCTCGAAGTGTTTTGAGCACCATATACAATGTTTTTTTCCATAGTATCGGGGATTGAACCCAGGGATTTATGCATGCTGGGAAAGCATTTAGATCAAGCCAGCAAATTGCAAGACCATTGTCCAAACTGATATTGGTAGCAAATATAAAAGAACTTGTACACCCATTCGGGAAGCCTAGATCAAGGTAGTTTTGTTTTGTTGAGAAAGGGCCTCTCTCTTCTAGCCCTAGCTGTCCTAGAACTCAAGAGATCTACCTACCTCCTCCTCTAGAGAGCTGGGACTAAATGTGTATGTCTCCATGCTCTGCTTGGCTCAAGAGTTCCGGAGCTTCTTAACTCTTTGCCCTAGTGTCTTGTCAAATCCCTGATTTCCTCTTGTTCCTGGGTGCAGAGAAGAAGCCACAATTCTCAGCCATCAGAACACCCACCATGTGGTGTGCTGGTGCACAACCTTAGTAATCCTAGCACACAGGAAGCAGAGGCAGGCAGATCTCTGCGTTCCAGGCCAGCCAAAGTTAGAGACCATGCCTTAAACACATACAGAGTTAAGTATGAGCTGACCATATTCAGCAGCTAGAACAAACACCAGTACTCACCTCTGGGTTTCTACCACATGAACTAATAATAACTAATATAAAGTTTTTTGAGACAAACTCATGTATCCCAAACTGACTTTGGACCTGCTATGCAGTGAAATACTACCTTGAACTTCTCTCTCTCTCTCTCTCTCTCTCTCTTTCTTACTGGTTTTTCAAGACAGGGTCTCAGCCCTCAGCCCTGTTTGTGCTGGAACTCGCTATGTAGACCAAGCCTCTGCCTCCCAAGTTCTAGGATTAAATGTGTATGCCACCATGCTGTGGTCGTCTGCTATACTTCCCCAGTGCTGGCATTACCAGTACACCATTTGTATGTTCTGGGGCATCAGACCTGCAGTTTTCTGTATGTTAGCTGAACGTTCAATCAAGTGAGTTCTATCTCCAGCCCCCTAACATTTTTTCAGTTGCAACTGTCTGAAAATTACAAGTTATAGAACAACTGAGGCTAGGAGTAGTGGCACAAGCCTATAATCCTAGTGTTTGAGAAGCTGAGATGGGATGACTGCCTGAAGTTTAAAGCCAGCCTGGGCTACAAAGACACACTCAGCTCAGAGAGGTTTTAAATGTCATGTAGTTGTTAGATCAAATTTCTTCTTCTTTTGAGGTGGTCTCACTGTGTATTAGCCCAGGCTTGTCTTGAAATTGCTATCTTCTTACTCTCGTGGGTGCTGGTATCATAGGTGTATGTCACCATGCTACGCTTGAGAGTAATCTGGATGACACAGCTGTTCTAGCACCAAGTCAGCTTCTCTTAAACAGACTTTAACCAGGCCTGGCGGTGCTGGCACATACCTTTAATCCAAGCACTGAGGAGGCACAGGACTGCTCTGATTTGAAGAATATGGCTTGAAGCTGGGCATGGGGTCTCACTACTGTAACAACAGCAATTGAGAGTAGAATACATATCGGATTTCAGACTAGCCTGGGATATATGAGACCTTGTCTCAAAAAAAGTTAGGGTATGTAAGATGGCTCGGTGGTGAAAGCATTTGGCCAACAAGCCGGACAGTGTGGAAGTACAGAACTGGTTTTCCGAAGGCTGTTCTGTGACTTCCATATACACGGCGCGCCCAAACTTTCACTTTTCATTCACACAATACAGACACACAAAAACAGACTTTAGAAAAGTCTTACCGCCAGTTGCAGAAACAAACTTTGATCATGTGACCTGTTTTGAATAGTCAGAAAACCTATAGAACTCTCCAGGAGAAGTGGCAATCAGCTACCCTGGTCTTCCGTGCCCACGGTGCGGACCCTCACAGCTCTCTAGGTATTAGATATCCCGCTGCGAAGTCAATTTAACGGATGAACTGGATTATTTATTTAGATCCTCTGGTTCTACAATCCGACCCCGGTCTCGGCCCTGTCACGTGATGTGCACGTTAACGCGCTCACGGACTGCAGCTCCCTGTGCCTGGTAGAGTGTGTGATCCTGAATCGTGCCTCCACGTCTCCAAGGTCCCGGCGCCCACAGGCAAGCTCTTGTGTCACGCTGACCTGCTGTCTCCGCTAACTGTCCAGTTCTTCCTCCAGGCCACGTTCTCCTCCGTGGCCGCCGCTTTCTTCAGGGTAGCCATCACTAGTTCCTTGGTCCTGAGAGCTTCGTTCCTGCGCTGCGGGTCCCGTTCCGGCATCTCCTATGGGCAAGAAGGATGTTTGCAGCCCAGGCCCGAAGACAGGACCTCTCCCCACGCACACCCACCTCGGGGAGCCCGGGTGTTTCTACCTGCAGCATTGCCTGCTTCTGTAGTTCTCCTGGGACCACAAGAGCAAACAGAGTAGAGCCCACGCCAGCACCCGTGCCTAGCACGGCAACCGCCACCAGTGTTTTACGAACCTTATCCATGGCCCACCATATTACCAACGAGGCGCCCTCCGCATCCTCCCGCAGCCTAGAACGGAGCCAGGACGTCTCACCGCTCCTTGTGCGGGCTAGAGCGACCGGGGGGGGGGGGGGGGGGGGGGCGGGGCGGGGCGGGGCGGAACTGAAAACCATAGAGCAACTGCTGGGCTAGAGAGGGGCTGGTCCCTAGAAACGTTTAGACTCTTGACTCTTGAAAAGCATAGATTTTAAAAAACAACGAAAGCCGGGCAGTGGTGGCGCAGGCTTATAATGCCAGCACTCCGGAGGCAGAGACATTCGTATCTTTGAGTTTGAGACCAGACTGGTCTACAGAGCGAGTTCCAGGACAGCCAGGGCTACACAGAGAAACCTTGTCCCGAAAAACAAAACAAAAGCAAAAAACGGGTCTCACTATGCACCACTAGCCGACTTGGAACTCGTTATGTACACCGCTGGCTTCGAACTCACAAGGAAGCCGCCTGCCGCTACCACCTCACCCAACATGAGGCTTAGTAACTGAGCAAAGGACATTGAGCATGTTAAATGCTGGAGCCGGCTGGAGAGATGGCTCAGTCGACCTGGCTTCAATACCCAGCACTCTCATAGCGGCTCACAACACCAGTTCCACGGGATATTGACACCCTCTACTGGCCTACATGAGCACCAGACACGCACTGTGGTGCACAGACACATGCAAGCAAAACATTCATACACATAAAATAATGAAAAAATAAAGTTAGATCCAAGGTCCATTGCCATCAAAGAGTGCATGATTGCTGTAGATTTTTCAATTGCCAGTTTTCGCTGGGTGGTGGTAGCGCATGCCTTTAATACCAAGATGGCCCTCTGAGTTCAAAGCCAGCCTGTTCTACAGAGTGAGGTCCAGGACAGCCAGGGCTACACAAAGAAACCCTGTCTCCAAAAACCGAAATAAATAAACTAATTAATTAATTAAAATAAAAATTTTAATTAAAAACAAAAACCACTGCCAGTTTTCAACCCCTGCAAGTCTCAGATCCATACAGGGCTGTTCTCAGTATTTTAAGTACACAATGTAATGGCTAACACCTGAAATCTCAGAACTTAAGGAAGGTGAATCTGGGAGAGTCTGAGTTGGGGCCAGTCAAGGCTTTGTTGGTAGACCTTGTTTCAAAACAAACAAATAAAGCAGATAGAGGATAGCACAAACAGAAATTCAAAGCCAAGTGGACAGAATAGGAAATAGATTTTTTTCCCTCTCAGGTTTTGAGGATTGAAACGAGAGTGTCAGAAAAGCTAAGTATATGTATGTGCTTACTTAGTTCATTCCTTCCTTCCTTCCTTTTTTTTTTTTTTTTTTTTTTTTTTAAGAAAAGACTTCTAGGACTAGAGAGATGACTCAGTGGTTAAGAACACTGGCTGCTCTTCCAGAGGACTCAGATTTAATTCCTAGCACCCATATGGCAGCTCACAACTGTCTAATTACAGTTCCTGGGGATCCAACACCCTCACGTGGACCTGAATGTGGACAAAATACCAATGCATATAAAATTTAAGAAAAAAAGAAAGGACTTCTAGGATTTCACTTTGTAGTCCTGATTGACCTGGAACTTGCTGGGTAGACCAGGCTAGCCTTGAGGTCCCAGAGTTTTGCCTGCCTGTGCTTTTTTTTTTTTTGTTGTTTCTCAGAGACAGGGTTTCTCTGTGGGAGCATGTCCTGGAACTCCTGTCCTAAGAGATCCAATGCCCTCTTCTGGCAGTAGACATACCTGCAGGCAAAACACCCATACCTATAAAATAAATACATTTAAGGTAAATAAATAAAAAGGGTTCCTGTCAAATAGCAAAAGCCCCATAAACATTCATTAAATAACATACAAATAAATAAGCCCACTTGAGAAAACCAGTAAACAAGGAGTTAGGAAATCTACCATCACAGCTCTTTATTTATAGGGCTTTAATCCAGATGCCCTTGTTTCCTACCTTGACTGCTATCCCTAGTGTCTCAGGGAGTAAACAGAATAAAGCTCCTGCCTCTCCTCTTTGGCTTCTCCCCTCCCTTGGAAGGCCCATAATCTCCCAGCATGTCAGCGTTCTTTCCTCAGCAGTGATTAAGGAGCCCTCTCCAAAGAAGATTAAAGCATAGTCTGTGTGGGGCACTGCGCAGGGGTGCTTGACCTGGAATCCAACCACTCTGCACTCTTAGAGTCACTATCATGGCCCTTGTGCCAGGGAGTAGCACGGATGGACCTCGGTCTGGAGATAGCCAAGACTCTTCATGGCATCCAGAAAGTCCCCGGTTGATGAATCCTCTCTCAAAGAACAGAGAAGAGATTGGCAGATGTGAAGGTCACCAGGATGCTCAGGTGAGTACTACTGGTCCTGGGACTGGCTCATCCTCGAATTGGGCCCAACACCCCTGCTGTACTTATGCAGGTGTCTCAGAAGTCCCGCCTGCCCTCTATTGTGGTAGAGGCCTCAGAGGGGAATGAGGAAGACCAGGAGGACAACCAGTGGCCACATGAGGAGTTGCTGCTGCTCACTGATGGTGAAGAAGAGGAAGCAGAAGCTTTCTTCCATGACCAAAGTGAAGAGCCAGGTGAGGGTGGTGGCTTATTCATTCAGGTCATTGTCAACTAGACATTCTAGACCCACAGTAGGTGTCCAGGAACGTTAGAAATAGGAAGCGTGGTGTGGTGCAGCTTAGGGCTAAAATGTATACTAGCATGCACAGGACCCTGGGTTTCATCCCCAGTAACACACACACACACACACACACACACACACACACATGGTAAGTAGGTGAGAGTCTAGACAGTTGATACCATTGATGGACATTAGAGGACAGCTTTGGTGTTTTGTGTTTCTGTTTTTCAAAGAAGTCTCACTCTATAGTTCAAACTGGCCTCCAACTGAAGGTCTCCCGGCTCCAGCCTCCCAAATTGGGGGATTACAAGCCTGTAGCACCATGCCTGGCTTGTTTGCTCGTTCCTTTATTTAGACACTGAAGAATGAACCTAGAGAGGTACTTTGCTGCTGAGTTGTATCACCAGTCCTTTTTATTTTTAATTAATTAATTTGAGACAGTCTCACTTTGCAACTCAGACTGACCTGGAGTTCACTGTGTAACCCAGGCTGGCCTTGAACACATGGTAATCCTTTTGCTTCAGCCTCTGAGTACCTGAGATTATTAAAAGCCTGAGCCCCAGGCTTTATACCCTGCCTGGTTTAGAGGGCTGTTCTGATCTTGTAATGAGTGATGTCCTTAATAAAATTTAGGCAGCCGGGCGGTGGTGGCGCCCGCCTTTAATCCCAGCACTCGGGAGGCAGAGCCAGGAGGATCTCTGTGAGTTCAAGGACAGCCTGGTCTACAGAGCCAGATCCAAGACAGCCAGGGCTACACAGAGAAACCCTGTCTCGAAAAACAAAAAACAAACAAATTTAGGCATAGCTAGGTGTGGTGGCTCCTGCCTTTAATTCAGGCACTTGGAGGCAGAGGCGGAGGCAGTCAGATTTCTGTGAGTTACAGGCTAGCCAGGTCTACATAATGAGAATGGATCTCCAAAATAATAACAGACCCACCACCACCAGCAGCATTTATTTACTTGTATTTGTGAGTGTGGTGCACCTGCACTGTAGTGTGGATGTAGGTCAGAGGACAACCGATGGGCGCCAGTTCTCTCATTTCACCTTGTGGGTTCTAGAGACTAAACTCAAGGGGCCAGTGTTCTCTTTTTCTGGTTGAGACAGGGTTTCTCTGTGTAGTTTTGGAGCCTGTCCTGGATCTGGCTCTGTAGACCTGGCTGGCCTCAAACTCACAGAGATCCGCCTGGCTCTGCCTCCCGAGGGCTGGGGTTAAAGGCGAGAGCACCACCACCGCCCGGCCAACAGCCAGTTTTCTTACAGGCAGAGCATCACTCTTTCTACTGTTTGTTTGCTTGATTTTGATTTCCTTTGTTTGTACTGTTGGGATAGAACCCAGGGCATTTTTTTTTTTTTTTTTTTTTTTTATTTTAGGCACCAGATCTCATTATAGATGGTTGTGAGCCACCATGTGGTTGCTGGGAATTGAACTCAGGACCTCTGGAAGAGCAGCCAATGCTCTTAACCTCTGAGCCATCTCTCCAGGCCCATTTTTTTTTTTTTTTTAAATGTGTGTGTATTGCTGGGCAGTGGTGGCATACATCTTTAATTCTAGCATTGAAGAGGCAGGGGCAGGCAGATCTCTGTGAGGCCAGCCCCAACCACACAGAGTTCCAGAACAGCCAGAACAACACATTGAGACCCTGTGCACACCTTTAATCCCAGCACTCAGGAGGCAGAAGGATCTCTGTGATTTAGAGACCAGCCTGGTCTACAGAGACAGTTCCAGGACAGCCAGGGCTACACAGAGAAACTGTCTCAAAAATCCAAAACAAAATAAAAAAAAAGTCTACAGAGACAGTTTCAGGACAGCCAAGTTTACACAGAGAAACAGTCTCAAAAATCCAAAAAAAAAAGTGTGTGTGAAGGTGTATTTCAGGGGTAGTGTATGCACGTGTCCCCTGCATACCTGTGGAGGACAGAAGACAACTATGTGGGTCTTAGCGATTAAACACTGTCAGACTTGCCCTGGTTGGTCTTTTGCTGGCTAAGCTATCTCACCAGCTCCCAAAACCAAGGCCTTTTGCATGTTAGGCAGTTGATCTGTCACTGAGCTGCACCCACGCTTTAATCTGCATTTTTTGTTTTGTTCTTTTGCTTTCTGACTACAGGAGTCATTATTTATCTTGTTTGGCCTGGGCCTTGCTTAATTGTCTAGTGGTAATCTGGACTTTTAATATTTTAAAATACATGGTTCATTACTGGGGAGGGTAGATGATAATATTACCCATGTCTAACTATCTAGAGGTAATTTTAGATGGATGGCTATATGTTGTTATAAGATTTTGGGGTTGCTTTCTTTTGAGCATTGTGCACAAATCACTGTGCTAAATATTTTTACCTTATGATTTTTCAGAACTCAATAGGGAGATAATTTCCCTCTATAAATGAGTTAACTGTGCTGGAGAGTGACTCCGTGGGTAGCACTTGCTCTGCATGAGGACTTGAGTTCAGATCCCCAATATCCATATAAATACCAGCTGGGCACAGTAGCCCACCTGCAGTCACAGCGCACTCTAGAGGCTGAGAACCCTGGAGCAAGCTACCTAGCTAGACTAGCTGCAAAGCTCTCGGTTCAGAGACACCCTGACTATAAAGTGAAAAGCCACTGAAGATAGATGCCTGATATTGATCTCTGGCCTCCACACCTGTACTCAACAATTGAATACAAATACGGACACACAAATTACCACCCTGACCCCTGTCCTCACAAGCAAGCTGGGCCTGGATCTCATAGATATCTGACTACTTCCACCACCTCAGTACTAGGGTTAAAGGTAGAGAAAAACTCTGTCTCATACACAGAAAAATAATGAGGCTGGAGACTTGGCTCAGTAGTTCTACTTTTGCGGATGACCTAGGTTTGGTTCCCAGAACTCATGTGGTAGTTCACAACCATATGTAACTCTAGTTCTAAGGCTTGAAAATTCCTCTTCTGACCTCATGCACATGCTAAATCTTTAACATATCAAGATGTCATAAGCTAACTCTTTTCCCAGGTTGGGCTTGGATACCACAGGACCCCACATCTCCTTTAAGAACATTTAACCCTGGACTTGGCTGGGGGCACGAACAAGAAGAGGATGACTCCTGGATTCCTGAGGATACAGAGGGTCAAGAAACTCCCAACCCCTGTCCTCTTTGGGACCCAACAGGGTCCTGCATCTACAGAACCAGATTTGTGGAATTTTCCCATTTCCCACCTCCCAGTACCTTTGAGGGTGAGTATTGTTCTTTCTCCCCCATTTCATTTGTTACTGTTTTCAAAGCCGTTTTGCCACAGGACAATTTAGTGCAGCAGTTGGATAATGTATCTGCCCCAATACATGTACAAACCAGTATCACCCTCACGCTCCAGATTTTTAACTAGGGCACAAATTGCGTAACCCTGTTATTCCTTCTCAACTTCCAGCTATTCATATTGCAAAACTCTCCTTGCCCAACAGAAAATGGTAGGGTTAAGAAAATGTCTTTGAGAAAATTTAATAAGCACAGTAGATAATGCCCTTAAAAGGCCTAACTCCTACACTCAGTCCAGCCATTGAATTTTTACTCCAAGCAGATGAGTTCAACATCAGGGTAACCTAGTGTCCTAGGATCCTCAGGCAAACAAACCTTGACAACAGTATTCCCGAACACCTGGGAAACCCGAGGATGCTAGGGCTCCCAGATTCTGGGTATGTCTTTAAAAAATGAAGACAGGCCAGGTGGTGGCGGTGGATGTCTTTAATCCTAGCACTTGGAGGGGCAGGCAGATCTCTGAGTTGGAGGCCAGCCTGGATTTCAGAGAAACCTTTGTCTCACCGACTCCCCACCCCACCAAAAAAAAAAAAAAAGTGAAGGCAGGAGGCAGTATGTTTGGCCATGGCCTCCTTGCATAAAGCTATTCATATGGGCTCCGCCACAGGAACCAAGTCCAGCTCTAGGACATCCGCAGGGTTAATAGGAGGCCTGTGCAGGCTTGAGACCTCATAGCTCACATCCAATACCCACAGTGGACAGTCTGCCTCCTACAGCAGTTTAAAAAGTGTCCCTGCCTAAGCATTGCTGTGAGTGAAGTCAATCTCAGAACCTTCAGTCGGCCAGACTACTGGCCAGGGGAGGAAGAACGTGTTACCCCAGGTCGGTTCTATGATTACGATGGGCCTTTTACCATAGGATGAACTACTGGTTTAAGATTCCCCCCAACCCCGAAAGACTCCCATCCGAGGTCCCCACAAGATCGACCAGAGAATCTTCAGTTAACTGTCACGCGCACTCCCAACATAAACAAGTTCCGAGTCTCGGGGAAAAAAAGGAAGCGCACACGGGGCTTTTAGCGTTCACTGACTTTATTGGTTCAACAATAAACCGCGAAGGAAAACATTAACTATCACTCCCGGGGCGTCATCCACGACCTGAAATCAAAATAAAAGAGCGTGACTATCGCATAGAGGGGACTGCCGGGTCTGGCTACATTTCTGCGTAGGGAGTGGTGTCCCGGCGTCTGAGGATAGAACCGGCGAACGGGAGGCCGCAGGCACCGAAGACATAACGCCGAGAGGGCCGGAGCCCTTTCCTTCTGCCTCCGTACATAACGGGGAGCAGGATGGTACGCCCGATCCCCGCCAAGAAAAGGAGGGTCTACAAGGTCAGGCCTAGACCCCAGCAGCACCCAAATACCCACAATTTAAAGAGACTCACGCGAATACGATCCTTCGAAAGACACGTACGTGCGCGTAACTCGTTTATATAGGCCTGGAGCCTCCCCCCGAGCAGCGATTGGTCCTCGGGTGCCGGGGGCGGAGCCTTTTGCTCTTGGCCAAACCTGCGATCGGAACGGAAGTGCGGTCCCACGTGTGAATCTCCGAGTTCAGCTATGGGACCTCCGGGAGGAAAGATCAATCGTCCACGGACGGTGACTCTGGGAGCTGCGCTTTTGCTTCCCCAGGCTGCCCGGAGCGTTTTCCTCTCCCGGGACAGGATCAGTGGTGTCTGGGGTAGCCGGGTGCGGGGATCCCGAGTGGGCGTGTATAACCTTACTCTGATGCGTGTCTTTTTCTCCTTCAGGAGCTGAAGAAGAAGTTGTTCAAGCGCCGGAGGGTGCTGAGCAGGGATCGGCGACGGAAGCGCCAGGTGGTCGGGGCCGTTATAGACGAAGGGCTGACTACGAGGCACCATCTCAAGAAGCGGGCGTGAGTACGGTACTAGCCCCCTCCGAGTGGTCGTTCCTACTTCCTTCCTACCAAGCTTCAGAGCAGCTCAGACTTTTCCGATTTTTTTGCTCTCTTTTCTCTCACGTTTAAGCAGGAACTAGTTGACTGTTATGGTAGTTCCCACACCACCAGCCTCTCACAATACTGTTGCTCACAGGGTTTTTTGGGTTCAATTCTACTAAGGAAGATTGTCGACTCTTCCACCCTTCCAATGGTTAGCTACATGAACTTAGATTTTTGAAATAAAAGTGCACACATAAGTGCAAACAATTAGTATAATTTTCTCAAAGGTACACAAAGAATTTTGGATACAAATTCAAGTTCTATGAGACATATCTTTTTTGTAGGTAGGATCACTTTTTTTTTTTTCTCTCGTTTTTCGAGACAGGGTTTCTCTGTGTAGCTTTGTGCCTGTCCTGGAACTCACTCTGTAGCCCAGGCTGGCCTCGAACTCATAGAGATCCGCCTGGCTCTGCCTCCCGAGTGCTGGGATTAAAGGCGTGTGCCACCACCGCCCGGCCTATAGGATCACTTTTGTGGCTTAGGTTTGTTCAGATTAACCTGGGTATCTTTGTTCCTATCCGTCCTTCAGGTCCAGTGCACGTGCCAACATCACGCTATCTGGGAAGAAGCGCAGGAAACTCCTGCAGCAAATTCGCCTTGCCCAAAAAGAAAAAGCAGCCATGGAAGGTATGTCTAGGGCACAAAGGTCCCATGAAGGGAGTCTGGATTTTACCTGGGTTCTTATAACGCTGCCTCTTTTCTTTCCCTTTGTTCAGTGGAAGCCCCTTCCAAGTCAACCAGGACGAGTGAGCCACAGCCCAAACGACGAAAGAAGATAAAAGCTCCTCAGGATGTAGACATGGAGGATCTTGGAGATGAGAGCTAAAGTCTCTACTTCTTTTATTAGAAGAGTCTCAACAGCAGCCAGAAGAATTTGGAGGACTTTGGAGAACATAACTACCATATTTCACTCTTTCAGACACTCCTTCCTTCATGACCCACTGACCTCCCCTGGAGCTATATATTGGGAGGGAAGAGGACACAGGCAAAGACTGGAGAGGGCCGTCTCTAGCAGTCAGCTTCTTTTGTAATAAAGCCCTGGAGCTTTAACTACCATGTGTGAATAAGTGCAAGAATGGAAATGGGCCATATGAAAGGTCTTTGAGTGCTATTTCAGAAGCAGGGCGCACAGTGTGCTTGAGCAATGCATTAAGAAACTAGATGGTGCAGGGCATGGTGGCGCACGCCTTTAATCCCAGCACTTTGGAGGCAGAGGCACGCGGATCTCTGTTCTAGGCCAGCTTGGTCTACATATGAGTTCCGGGTCAGCCAGGGCTGCATAGTAAAACCCAACCTATAAAAGAAACTAGGTAGCTTCTTCAGTGGTCCCCATCTTTCCATTTCTGAAAAATACAGGATGGTAGGTGGGGAGGTAATGATCCTGAGAGTAGTTCTGACACTACGCCTATGTGACCTGGGATTATAGTAACAAACAGTTGTTTCTTTTTTTTGCTGGTGATGGTGGTGGTTCTAGGAGTCAAACCCTGGGCCTCATTCATTCTAGGCAACCATTGTGCCATCTGTATTTCTGTCAGCACTTATGCTGTAGGAAGCCCGTTCTGAGGACTTTATTTGTTTTTGAAGCTTTAAGTGTCCCAGGATTGTTTTTTTTTTTTTTTTTTTTTTTTTTTTTTTTTAAAGATTTATTTATTTATTAGGTATGCAGTGTTCTGCCTGCATGTATGTCTGCAGGCCAGAAGAGGGCACCAGATCTCATTACAGATGGTTGTGAGCCACCATGTGGTTGCTGGGAATTGAACTCAGGACCTCTGGAAGAGCAGCCAGTGTTCTTAACCTCTGAGCCATCTCTCCAGCCCCCCCAGGATTGTTTTGAAATGTGATCCTTCTGCTTCCACAGTGCTGGGATTATGGGATGAGACATGCCCAGCCCCTTTCCCGGACTTACTTTTACCGCTGCAAACATCTAAAAAGATGGAGGCTGATGATAATAGTGCTTGACATCAACAACCTGAGTTCCATCCCTGTTAGGGTCTCAGTCTCGGGGATGGAAGGAGCGCCTGCTCTCCGAAGTTGTCCTCTGGCCTCCACGCTTGCATTGTGTCAAGCATGTTCCCCCATTCACATAGTAACTGTAACAACAAAGCAAAACGGTTTCAAAAAATTAGACATGGGCTTGCAGCATTCCTCTGAATTTTCCATTCCTTCTCGACTAAATACCAATAACAGAGTCTATTTTATGTGTTTGAGTCTTTTGCTTGCATGAATGTTTGTACACCATGTGCACTGTGCATGCCTGGTGTCTGCAGAGACCAGAAGAGCCTGGAACTGGAGTTAGACATTGTGAGTTGCCATGTAGGTGCTAGGAACTGAACCTGGGTTTCTGAAAGAGCACCAAGTGTTCTTAATCAGTGAATCATCACTCCAGACAACATTTTGTTGTTTTGTTTTCTGCCCCAAGGAGGCCTGAAGTGGGTATAAGGTCCCCTGGAACTGGAATTAAATTGGGAGCTGCCATGTGTGGATGCTGGGAATTGAACCCTAGTCCTCTCCAAGAGCAGTGAGTGCTTTTAACCACTGAGCCACTCTACCCCCAAAGAACTTGTATATAAATGTCATGCACCTCTCTCTCTTTAAATGTACATTGGCTTTCTTTCTTTTTTTTTGAGACAGGGTTTCTCCTTTTGGAGCCTATCATGAAACTCTATGTAGACCAGGCTGTCCTTGAACTCACAGAGATTCTCCTGCCTCTGCCTCCCAAGTGCTGGGATTAAAGGTGTGCACAGTCATCTGCCGGGCTGACATTGGAGTTTTTTGCCTATATATATGTCTGTGTGAGGATGTCACATTCCCTGGAACTGGAGTAACAGACATTTGTGAACTGCCATGTGGGTGCTGGGAATTGAACCCGGGTCCTCTGGAAGAGTGGCAAGAGCTCTTAACCGCCGAGTCATCTCCCCAGCCCAAATGTCATGTGTCTCACAACCACCTGTAATTCCAACTTCAGGGTATCTGAGGTTCTCTTCTAGACTCTGAGGACACCTGCATTTGTGTGTATATATATACACACACACATATATATATACACACACATATATATATACACACACATATATATATACACACAGGCATGTTCATATACATATAATTTGAAAATAATAAAAACAAGATGGTCAGCGATGGTGCATGCCCTTAATCCCAGCACTCGGGAGGCAGACACAGGCAGATCTCTGAGTTTCAGGCCAGCCTGGTCTACAGAGTGAGTTCCAGGACAGCCAGGGTGAGTTCCAGGACAGCCAGGGCTATACCAGGAAACCCTGTCTCAAAAAACCTAAAAAATTAAAAAAAAAAATCTTTAAAAATTGTTTAATAGTTACCAGATGTTTCTTACATTTTTAGTTCATTAACCATACAACAATATCCTTAAAATATAAATATATCCAGGAGAGACACAGAAATGCCCGGACTGACAAATCAAAATGATTCTATCTAAGTCCAAAATCCAGCTTGGTGAATCAAGAATTTGTTTTTTGTTCTGACCTCCCCCCAACCCCCAAGACAGGGTTTCTGTGAAGCTCTGGTTGTCCTGCCTTGAAGTCACAGAGATCCTCCTGCCTCTGCATCCTGAGTGTTGGGATTAAAGGTGTGCACCCCCACTACCAGGCTGTATTTATTGTTTTTATTTGTCTCTGTAACAGGGGTGTGAGTGACTCTTGGGCAGTTGCATCACCACAAAGCTGCACCCTGGCTCAAGTGGCAGCTGGAGAAAGCTGCATCTTTCCAGTTAACTCCAGTCAGCTTTTCACCTGTACATTCTAGCAGTGCCCAAGACTACATGGAGCTGGGACAAGATTACAAACGGCTGTGGTTGGGGGTGGTAGTGGGAATGGTGGCTAGACTCATTTGAGGGGCCGATGACCAGCACACACCTCCTATAAGGAAATATGGATAGGGTCTCATGTAGGTAGCTGTTCTGATTCATGATCGTATCAGTTCCACTACAGTATACCTATTTGACAGGTGAGGATTCAAGATCTAGAAAAATTTAAAAAAATTTTTTTTTGTATGTTCAGGTGTTTTGACTGCATGTATATATGTGCACTACTTTTGTGCCTAATGCTTTGGAGGCCAGAAGAGGGTAGCCCGTAAAGGAGGGCAGCCTTGTATAGGACACACCCAGACACCAAATTCTCAGCAAAAAGGAGATCTAGTACCCCAGAGGGGCAATCAGTAGGGGAAGCTGCCTCTGGATTGGGCAAAGGCAGAAAGCAAGCAGCAGTAACAGCAGGTGTTTTTTTTTTTGCTGGGGTGGATTTTAAGGAGAAAATGGGGGCATCTGGGCTAGGGTGAGTTGGTAACTTCTGATTGGACATGTTAGCCAAATAATGAATTTTGATTGTTGAACCTTGGTGTTTTGTTTCAGGAATGAGTCAGAGGCCAAATAAGGGAATGGACCTTGGGGGCTATCTTTAGGAATATAATCTAATCCCTGGAGCCTAAGACTTGGTTGTGAGCCACCATGTGGGTGTGGTTATTGAACCTGGGTCCTTTGGAAGATCAGTCACTGAGCCATCTCTCTAGTCCTTTCAAACTGACTCTTGTTATTCAGAGGGGTTTCTGTACAGCATTATATCAAGAACTTTAGCCTGGGTGTGGTGGCACCCACGCTTAGTCCCAGCACTCAGGAGGCAAAGGCAGGTGGATCTGAATTTGAGGCCAGACTGGTCTAGAGTGAGTTCCAGGACAGCCAGGATCACACAGAGAAACCCTGTCTCGAAAAACAAAATACCAAACAAGAATTTTGCATAAGTTATTTCAAGTGACTTATTACATACTATGTGAGGCAGAGAAGTCATGTTCATCTTACAGATGAGGAAATAGGTTCCAGGTAGCTAGGCCACTTGTTCAGGGTTATATTGCCAACAACGGCACATAAATCCAAACCCAAACTGGCTCCCTTAGATCGTAAACTCTTTAAGGACGAGAAGCTCCATAGTAAGCCGGGGTAGTGGTAAGCGTCTAGTCTCAGCTACTCTGAAGGCTCAGGGAGGAAGAGCACTAGAGCAAAGAATTACAGAACAGCCTGAGCAGTTTTATTCTAAAACAAAAGCAAAAGCTAGTTATGGTAGTATGCCTGAAATCCTGGGAGAGAGGCATGAGGATCAGGAGTTTAAATTCATGAGACCCCATCTCTACAAGCAAATAACAAGCAGGCTGACAAAAGAGAAACACTCTATACTATTAAATTTTGTTTTGTTTTGAAATCTGAGCCGGGTGGTGGTGGCGTACGCCTTCAATCCCAGCACTCGGGAGACAGAGCCAGGAGGATTTCTGTGATCTCCCTGGTCTACAGAGCGAGCTCCAGAACAGGCACCAAAACTGTCTCAAAACCCTGTCTCGAAAAAAAAAAAAAAAAAGAAAGAAAGAAAGAAAGAGAGAGAGAGAGAGAGAGAGAGAGAGAGAGAGAGAGAGAGAGAGAGAGAAAGAAGAAAGAAAGAAAGAAAGAAAGAAAGAAAGAAAGAAAGAAAGAAAGAAAGAAAGAAAGAAAGAAAGAAAGAAAGAAAAAAAAATCTGAGAGACAGTGTCTCATCATGTAGCCCTGGCTTGCCCAGGTCTTAGTTTGTAGACCAGGTTGACCTCCAGTGCTGGGATCACAGACGTTGAGTTGGAACGGCCGGATCCGTGCTTCCGTTTTTAAAAGCTCATGAGTTGCACGTTAATACTATTGCTGTTAGGAAAAATAATTAGGTCGCACTGTGAATGAAAGGTCCCCGGTAGCTTTCATGTGTCGATGAGGCCATTCGGGGCGTGGGGGTGGGGAAGAAGGTTGCGAGGAGGGCAAGCCTGTTACCTGCTGTGACCGATGCGACACGGAACCAAAGTACTAGGGCTTCGGACTTGGCCGGACTGATTTTCCTGAGAGGCGGGGTCGCTGGTTTCTGTCGCGTTTCCAGTCAGCGCGCATGCGTCGCCTGTGCTTCGCCGCTCCCGCCTCAGGCTCCGGGTAGGGCTCCGGGATGTCCGCGTTGTGCGACCCTCCCGGGGCCCCAGGGCCACCCGGGCCTGCCCCCGCCACCCACGGTCCCGCGCCTCTCAGGTAGTCAGAGCCCCTGGTACCCCACCCCCTCATCGCGCGACCCCGCGCCGATGCCCAGCCTTCTCTACAGAAAGCCGGATCCTACCTTGAGAACTCGCGTCAGGGTTCTCAGAGATTCTGGTCGCGTCCTCCCGGAACTCAGGGACCGCCTCACTAAAAACTCTAGGCTGCAGTGCCTGCCCTGCCTTGCCCTGCCCTTGGTTCTGCCTCTCCCTAGACCTCAATGGCTTCTTATGCCGGCCTTGCTCTGCCAGCACCTCGGGACATCAGGACTCTTGAGAACCTAGCCTCCCTGCCCCTTTTGCTTCGAAGAGGCTCCGACTACATGGAGTGTGTCTTGGGAACCAAGGCTCGGAGCCTCAATATTTGTGCTAGCCTTTCCTTTGCACACTTCCCTCATTTTTGAGGTGCCTTTTTGTTTTTGAACCAGAGGGATGGCACAGAACCCTATTAGCCCACAGAATGCTGTTGTCTTTGACAGAAAAGACAGTAAGAGGCAAGGGGTTTTACTTCCTCTTTCAACATAGCTTTCTGAACCTCTAAGACAGAGCTTATGTGTGTGGGGAGGGGAAGGATTGAAAGGCTTGCTCATCTGTGCCCTGTGACACCCCCCCTCACGATTCTCAGCACATTGAAGGTGGTTGTTAGTCTGCGCTTAGGACTCTCATTTTTTGAGACAGGGTCTCTCTATGGAGAGATCTAGTTGTCCTGGAACTCATTATGTAGACTAGGTTGGCCTTGAACTTACAGAGATCTGTGTTGGAATTAAAGGCCTGTACCACCAAGTGTGGCAGAATTCTTATATAATATGAGAAGGCACTCATTTGGGAGGGAGAGCTTTAGAAAAGGGTTTACAATTTTCTGGCCATTAAGAGATTTCAGGGTGCTTGTGCTGTAGAGGGGGCTGGAAGATGTTAAAGGAGGTATAGAACTCCAGAATATATTTACTTAATTCAT